CGAGCAGGATTCCAATCTTTCTCAGCAGCGCTAATTCTCCGCCAGAAGTCTTTATTTGAACAACCCAAAATGGGAATATGAGCAAGGTTTCGGTACTCTTCAGTGAGTACAAAATCAGCTGTGTAAAGACCCATTCGGAAGGAGAATTCAGAATAGCTCATCTTGCACATGGTATTCATCATTCTGAATTGAATGGAATCTTCATAGTCCCAACCCGAAAAATTACGTTCAACAACTAAGGTAGTGAGGAATTCTAAAGTGAGTTCTTTATAAGTAGGCTCAATAATGGAAAACAGAACTTCCCAATGTCCTATTCCTATCAATTCTCTCACTTCATCAACCAAATTGTAATGTTGTAGAACCTCCCAATCAATGTATTTGCTCTGGCCCCAAACCCTTGTTTTCAACTTATCGTACCTTGTCAGATGAGTAGGGGCGTTGAATCGGAGCAGCTGGGATGGAGGGGGTTGTGGTGGGCGCTCAGTCTGGGGACGAGGACGTTTCCTCACTTGCTCCTTGCCTCTTCTTGGTGCTCTGGAGGAAGACCCATCAGCCATGGTAGTTGCAGAAAAACTGGGCGCGTAGATGGATGGGGAAGGATTGCAGAATTCTTTTTCTGCTATGAAAGAAGGAGGAGAAAAAGAGAGGGTGAGGGGTTTGCAGAGGAGAAGGAGTATTGAACCAGAAACAGAGGAGGGGAAGGGGAAACCTAGGTTTTGAAGGAGATTTAAAACAGGGTTTATAAAACAGAGGTACAGCGCGGGAAATTAAAACAGAGGGGGTTATCGCGCCAGATACACGGCCGTGTATCTGGGCGTGTAGATCTCGGCCCAATGAATTTTTTAAAAAGATTACGAAACTGGGCATGTACATGGTTGGATACACGGCCGTGTATCTTACCGTGTATATCTCTGTACAAGATAGATGAGATCTACATGGGCGTGTATCTTAGGCGTGTAAATCTTTGCCCAATTTTGTCTGAGTACACAGTTGGATACACGGACGTGTATCTGACCGTGTACATCTCTGCACAGCAGAATTGTCATGAAACAAAAATACACGGCCATGTACATGGCCGTGTAGTTGACCATGTATCTCACTGCCCTCTCCCTTTTATTATTTTCCTTAAAATTTTATTTATTTATTTTTTTTATTATTATTATTATGATTATTATTACAAATAATTGGAAACAATTGAACCAAACACCAACTAAATTGTAATAAACTAAAACTTCTAACCTAAACAAATAATTAACCAGATTAAAACAAATTAAATCTACCTAACCTAAACTACTCAATGTGATTCAGTATTCAACATGGAGGAGTTTGAACTCCTCATTCTCAAATGTTTGAATTTGACCTCCCTGGTACAGTTTTAGTCTGTGTCCATTTACCTTAAAGTTTCCTTTCTCCTGATGTGTTAATTCTATTGTACCGTAAGGAAACACTTCATGCACCGTAAAAGGTCCAGACCAACGGGATTTGAGTTTACCTAGGAATAATTTGAGACGAGAATTGTATAACAGTACTAAATCACCCTTTTTGAATTGTTTACCTCCCTTGATTTTCCTATCATGATATACTTTCATCCTCTCCTTGTAGATCCTGGAGTTTTCGTAGGCCTCCATGCGCCACTCTTCCAACTCATTCAGTTGCATTAACCGTTTGTTTCCTGCATGATCAAGATCCATATTCAGAGATTTAATTGCCCAGAATGCCTTATATTCTAATTCAACTGGGAGATGACAGGCCTTTCCAAATACAAGTCTATATGGTGTAGTGCCTATAGGAGTTTTAAAAGCTGTCCTGATGGCCCACAAGGCATCATCTAATTTGTCAGCCAAGTCTTTCCTATTCCTTTCTACTGTCTTTTCTAATACTTTTTTTAACTCCCTATTAGCTACCTCAACTTGGCCACTCGTTTAAGGATGGTAAGGGGTAGCAATTCTATGGGTGACTCCATATTTATTCAAAACTTTTTCCAGTTATGTATTGCAGAAATGTGTACCCCTATCACTTATTAAAGCTCTTGGTGTGCCAAATCGTGAAAACAGCTTTTTGAGGAACCTAGTGACTACTCTTGCATCATTATTAGGTAATGCTTGTGCCTCTACCCATTTTGACAAATAATCAATAGCCACTAAAATATATTTATTCCCTTTTGAACTAGGAAAGGGTCCCATAAAATCGATCCCCCAAACATAAAAAATTTCACACGTCAAGATGTAATTCTGAGGCATTTCATTCCTTTGAGAGATATTACCTGACCTCTGGCAATTATCGCACAACTCAACAAACCTGTGGGCATCTTTAAAGATAGAGGGCCAGTAAAATCCAGAATCTAGCACCTTCTTAGCTGTCCTAGTCCCAGAATGATGTCCTCCAGCAGGGCCAGTGTGACAGTGTCTTAGAATTCTCCATCCTTCGGAGTGTGGCACACATCTTCTAATAACCTGGTCTGCACAAATTCGAAACAAATATGGGTCCTCCCAAAAGTAGTATTTCAAGTCAGAAAAGAATTTCTTCTTTTGTTGACTTGAAAATTCTTGTGGTAGAACCTTAGCAACCAAATAATTAGCAAAATCCGCAAACCATGGTAAAGAAAAATCGGACGCAGTTACCACATTGTATAGATGTTCTTCCGGGAACTTGTCATTGATGCTTCCTTCTTCCAATTTCTCTATGTTGGGATTCTCCAACCTTGACAAGTGATCAGCAGCTAAATTCTCTGAACCCTTCTTATCCTTGATTTCCAAGTCAAATTCCTGTAGTAACAAGACCCATCTCATTAGTCTCGACTTTGCATCACTTTTATTTAGTAAATAACGCAATGCAGAATGATCTGTATATACTATCACTTTAGACAGAATTAAATATTGGCGAAATTTATCAAACGCAAACACCACAGCTAATAATTCTTTTTCTGTCGTAGTGTAATTCTATTGGGAACTTGTTAGGGTCTTGCTAGCATAATAAATGGGTTGAAAATGCTTGTCTTTTCTCTGGCCAAGCACAGCTCCCACAGCATAGTCGCTTGCATCGCACATTAATTCGAATGGATAATTCCAATCCGGACCGCATAAAATAGGGGCTTGGGTAAGTTTTCCCTTTAGTAGCTCAAAAGCACTTAAGCACTCCTCATCAAAATTAAAGGAGTTCTCCTTTTCTAAGAGCTTGGTCAGAGGTTTGGTGATTTTTGAGAAGTCCTTGATAAACCTCCTGTAGAAGCCTGCGTGGCCTAAGAAGCTCCGAATTGCTTTGACAGATGTAGGGGGTGGTAACTTTTTGATTGTGTCAATTTTTGCTTTATCCACCTAAATTCCCTTGCAGGAGATTTTATGACCAAGTACAATGCCTTCTTGTACCATAAAATAACATTTCTCCCAATTAAGTACCAAATTAGTTTCTTCACATCTTTGAAGCACTCTTGACAAATTCTGTAGGCAATGGGAGAATGAATCACCGAAGACTGAAAAGTCGTCCATGAATATCTCCATGATATCTTCTACCATCTCGTCGAATATAGCCATCATACACCGTTGAAAAGTTGCTGGTGCATTACATAATTCGAATGGCATCCGGCGATAAGCAAATGTTCCGTATAGGCATGTGAAGGTAGTTTTCTCTTGATCCTCTGGTGCTATTGGAATTTGGAAGTATTCGGAGAGGCCATCCAGGAAGCAATAAAACATATGGCCTGAGAGACGCTCGAGCATTTGGTCAATGAATGGGAGAGGGAAGTGGTCTTTTCTCGTTGCGTCATTTAGCTTTCGGTAATCAATACACACTCTCCACCCAGTGACAGTTCTAGTAGGGTCCAACTCATTTTTCTCATTAGGAACTACAGTCATCCCCCCTTTCTTTGGAACGACTTGCACCGGGCTCACCCACGGACTGTCTGAGATGGGATAGATCATTCCGGCATTCAGTAGCTTGATCACTTCCGTTTTCACCACTTCTTTCATGTTTGGGTTTAGTCTTTTTTGTGGTTGCACTACTGCTTTAAAGTTAGACTCCATCAAAATTTTGTGAGTGCAAAAAGAAGGACTAATCCCTCTGATGTCAGAGATTCTCCATGCTATTGCTTTCTTGTGCTCTCAGAGCACATTCAGTAGCTGGCCTTTTTGTTCTTGTGTTAGTTTCGAAGCAATGATGACGGGTAACTTGCAACCGTCTTCCAAGAAAGCATACTCTAGATGTTCAGGTAGAACCTTTAGTTCTACTTCTGGTGGCTTGTCAGTGGATGGGCTGGGCTGCTCCTCTGAATTTTGTTCCAGAGCTTCAAAGTTCCTCTTTCTCAATAATGGTTTAGTGGCTTCTAGATGATACCACTGTTCTTGAGTTAGCATGCCCATATTATCTGTTCCTTCTTCCTGTATCAAACTTCTCTCCAACGGGTCTGAAATCAAGAATTCCTGTGTAAAATCAGAAACAAAGTTATCAATTACATTAATGAAAAAACATGAATCATCTTGTTTCAAGGATTTTTTCATTACTTCAGGAATTTTGAAAGTTACTTCTTCGTCTCCAACCCTCAAAATTAACTTCCCATCACTCACATCAATGATGGCTTTTGCAGTAGCTAAGAATGGACGACCTAAGATTAAGGGGACCTCAGTGTCCTCATCCATATCAAGAATCACAAAATCGACAGGAAAAATAAATTTGTCCACTTTTACAAGCACATCCTCAATGATACCCCTAGGATATTTAATTGACCTATCAGCTAGTTGAATACTCATCCTAGTTGGTCTAGGTTCTCCCAAACCTAATTTCTTAAAAACAGAATATGGCATCAAATTAATGCTAGCACCTAAATCAGCTAAGGCCCTATCAACTATCAATCTACCAATAAGACAAGGAAGAGTAAAACTCTCTGGATCCTTTAATTTCTCAGGCATCTTGTTCTGTAGGATTGCTGAGCATTCTTCATTAAGTGTTACCATGGCCAACTCTTCCAGCTTCTTCTTGTTCGATAGTAAATCCTTCAGAAATTTGGCCTATTTGGGCATCTGTGCTAAAGCATCAACAAACGGTAAATTTATATGAAGCTGACGAAATAAAGAAAGAAATTTACCAAATTGTTCATCGTCCCTGTCTTTCTTCAATCTTGCTGGGTAGGGAAGTGGGGGTATGAATTCTTTCAATGTAGGTGGTTTTTCTACAGTTTCCTCTTGAACTTTATCTTCCTCTTCAATTGTAGCTTTTTCTGCATCTTGCTTTCCATTTTCTTGTAATATTTTGCCGCTTCTTAATGTTACTGCCTTCACCTGCTCCTTAGGATTTGTTTCAGTATTGCTAGGTAGGCTCCCTTGGGGTCTTTCCGAGAGGAGTCTAGAGATTTGACCCAACTGATTTTCCAGATTATGGATGGATGCTTGTTGATTTCTTAATGCTGTCTCGGTGGATTGGAACCGAGATTCTGAGGTTTGAATGAATTTGGTCATCAACTCCTCAAGGTTTGACTTCTTTTCAGCTGGGAGTGGTGGTGGATGTGAAGCTTGTTGAAATCCTGGGAGTGTGTTGTTCCGCATTGGCTGTTGGTTGTTGTTCCATGGTTGGTTTGCATAGTTCCTCCAACCCGGATTATTCATGCCATTGTAATTTTGGTACGGTGGTCTGTTTCCTATCACATTGGCATGTTCTTCCTGAGTAGCTCGACACTCATGATTAGGGTGGCCTCCTCCACAAATATCACATCTCATTACCGGAGCAACTTGATGGTTAACAGATAGACCATCAATCTTCTTCCCTAAGGCTTCCACTTGCATTGCCAAGGATGTTACTGCATCAAGACTATAGATCCCCGTAGATTTCGCAGGTTTGGATCGAGTTAAGCTCCACTGATAGCTGTTCATTGCCATTTCTTCAAATAATTCTTGTGCAGCCCTTGGTGTCTTGCTATTCAAAGTGCCCCCAGCTGCAGCATCTATCATTTGTCTTGTGGCTGGGTTTAATCCATTGTAGAAGGTCTGCACTTGAAGCCAGTTCGGAATCCTATGATGTGGGCATTTCCGCAACAATTCTTTGAACCTCTCCCACGTATCGTATAATGTCTCTGACTCCAACTGATAGAAGGAAGAGATATCGTTCCTCATTTTGGCAGTTTTCGCGAGAGGGAAATATTTTGCCAAGAATTTTTCTGCCATAGCCTCCCATGAAGTGATAGATCCTCACGGGAGAGAGTTCAACCATTGCTTTGCTATGCTCCTGAGAGAAAATAGGAATAGCCTCAAACGAATTGCATCATCAGTAGCTCCATTAATCTTGAAAGTATCACAAATCTCTAGAAAATTTGCAATGTGAGCATTGGGGTCTTCATCTTGTAATCCATCAAATTGGACAAACTGCTGAACCATCTGAATAATATTGGGCTTTATTTCAAAATTTCCTTGCACATCCGGACAAACAATGCTAGATTCTGTCCCAGTTAATGATGGACGAGCATAATCGGACATGGTCCTTAGTTGATCTTCGTTGTTTGCCATTCCTTCCATGGGTGTTTGTGCGTTTTCCCTCTGTACTAGCAGTCGTCTCTCTTTCTGAATTTTTCGCAAAGTTCTTTCGATCTCTGGGTCAAATTCAAATAGTTCTTCAGACAGTGCAGTAGAACGGGTTCTGATCATACACCAGAAAAATTAGCTCCTAAAAAGAATGAAAGCAAAATAGATAAGTTAATTCAAGACTAAAGAAATAAATAAAATTAGTAAATACGTAATAAAGGGAATCCTAATTAAACAGTCCCCGGCAATGGCGCCAAAAACTTGATGTGTAAAAACTGATCACTGGGCAAGTGTACCCGTTGTCGAAGTAATATTATTAAAATTAAAATTAAAGTACCAATTGTCGTATCCACAGGGACTGTTATTAAGAAACTTTTCCTTAATTACGTAATGGTTAATAAATATGAAAAATAAACCTTGTTGATGAAATTGCTAAAAGTAAAAGAACAATAAATTAAAAGGAACAGATATTCTAGTGAAAATAAATTATAGAAAATTATGACTAAAAATATTCAATGTAAAAGGGTAAGTATCTAGACTGTAAATCCCCCTAAGTGTCCAAATAACTGAAATTCTTCTTCAACTACTTAGTTCCAAACCCTTATCGCTGCAGGAAATTCGAAATTAAATCAATACCTTTCTCAAGGATAATGATTCCTAACCCTCAGTTGATTAATCGGAATCTCTTCCTTAATTAATACCCCTTGGTTGCATTAAGTTCATTATGAATTCCATAATTAGGGTTAATCCTAATACAGAAAACTCACGTCTTTCTATCTCTAGAAATACATTCAAGTCTTTTTAATTGAGCAATGTTAATTTCATGCAGGAATTTTACTCAAATTCAAACAAGAAAACAAGATAGAGAAAATTGATACTACTCAATTAAACCCAAGAGAAAAGAACATGAAATAGCATTAGAAGAATTCCAGAAAATTTAGTCAATTAGGATTCATTACGTCTAGATACTCCAAGAAAAGTTAGAACCTAAACATCTTGAAATTAAAATTACAAAAGAGGTGAATTAAAACGCTTGATCCTATCCTCCTACCGTCTCTGAGTCTTTCGTCTCCACAAACTGCATTCTTTTTTTAGGTTTGAGTTCAGTTCTCCTTTTATAGAAATTATCCTAGGGTTAATTTTCTCACATAAGTTAAAATTCTGATGCGCGTAAAAGTACACGCCCAAGTACACGGCCATGTACTTGGCCGTGTACATCTCTGTCTTCTAATAGGTGTCCTTCAAATCTCTCCTGACAAGTACACGCTCATGTAAACGGCCATGTATCTGGCCGTGTACATCTCTGGTCTGTGATACTTGGCCTTCACAATCTTTGTACGAAGTACACGCTTATATACATGGTTATGCACATTGACCGTGTATATCTCTGGCCCAAATGATGCATTCCTTGACAACACCAGTGATGTACACGCTCATATACACGGGAGTGTATCTTCCCGTGTATATCTCTGGCTGGATATTTCCTTGTTCATTGCATTCCAGTGAGATACACGACCATATACACGGGCGTGCATCTTCCCGTGTATATCTCTGGATTCTTTTTCTTCAATTCTTGACATCTTTAAGGTTTTCATATCCTTGATCCTTTTTCCTGAAATATAAATAAAATGAGATTAATTATAATAATATCTATCAATGAATAGCTTAAAAACTCTCAATTATCATAATATAGGACTAAGTATTTAGAGCATTTATCAGTGCACCCGTTCCACAGTCGGTGTCACCACCACTCTCTCTTCCTCAAGGTATTTCTACCATCCTCATCTTCTACACCCCCAGTGTATCGCTGAACCATTTACAACACATTATAACAGCGCCATCACGCCCCATTCACATACATTTCATTCACACACGCAATATTCATATTTACACATGGCACACAGCCTATATTTTATCCACAACATACGGCACATAGCCTTCATTTATTCACGACAACATTTATTTACCAATCAATGGCATTCCATCACACACAATCACCCCGTGGGGCCTAACTATTCCAACACTCATCACATTGCACATCAATTTCATCCAACACACAATCCCTATCCTCTATCTCAGTCACATAGCAATATTCAACAAAAATCACAATAATGAGATAGGGTAGAGTTCCCTTCTTACCTTGGATTGAAGACCCACACTCGAATTCAACCTCGGATGTGCTCCCCACACAAATCTCAGCCTAAACACATGGAGAAACTCCATAAAAATCCCAAAAATCACCAAAACCAGAGAATAGAGAGGAAAAACGAAAACCCTAAACGTTTAAAACTCACCTCCAAGCGTTCACCACACGGATTCAACCTCTAATCTAGCTTCCGAACGGCTTTGGAGGCAATTTAATCGGTGGAAAAGGGTTTTGGATCGAGAGAATCGAAGGGATTTTGAGAAATGAATTCCCAAACCCTAAACCCCCTTTTAAAACCCCTCAGATCGCGACACTCTTAGTACAGCGAGAAATTCTCGCTGCAGTAACGCCCTCTGTTGCCACAGTGAAAATCTTAGACAAAACTGCACCCTAGTTTCTGCAGAATCTCACTACAGCGAGACTCTCTCGCTGCAGCGAGAAGGCGACAGTTTCGCCCCTTCTTCCCAGGGCCCTCTTGCTACAACGAGGATAGTCCAGTATTACCCCCCTTAACCTGTTTTCAGCATCAGAAAATCCAATCCAATCAATCATACACCCACGCATACATATATATACACATATTCATACTCATTACATACAAAAACACCATCATTATGCCTTCAATGTAAATTTACAACATCCATTTACACTTATACGCACATATATATATGCATTTATACTTATATAAATGATAATAATTAATATCACAAAATTCGAGGCGTTACAATTTCACTAGCCGGCCTACATTTCGCATGTATGGTGAGGACTCGAACCTCCACCGATCGACCTAGCTTGACTAACAAGATAAGCCTCAGGAGAAGGTCTGGATAAAGGAGCATCGCGTGGAGACTCTCAACCAGAGTTCTGGGGCCTAGGACACTTTTAGGGCTATTGGTAAGTCACCCAACTCCATTAAATTCCCTAGACGTTGAAGTCCTCCCTATCTTTCACCAACAGCATTTATAAAATAACCTCGTGACTTCCTGCACAGGGGAGTAAGAATTCGCACACATTTGACTTCTAAATAGTCATGCATACTTTCAGAGTTTCACTCCCTTAATCACGCACACAGGCGCTGGCCAAATTTAAGATTTCACATGATTTCATCAACTAATCAGAACCACATATATATAGAGAATTGAAAAGTACTTATATCCGTGCCTCAATGCACTTTCTCTAAGTGTTCCAAGCTCACTAACTTCATCTCTTTCTTTGAGTTTCAATCATTACCCGGCTAGAATTACACTACTCATTTATTTTCAAAAAGAAAGAAAACAAAGTTTTCACAAAGGTTTACTTTTAGTCATTGGATTCAATTATTGAACTCAAGGTTAGAGCTGAAACCATGGCCAAAATCCTTAGAGCGCATATACTTACATACCAATTTACTCTCAGCATATCATCACGCATTTCCCACCCTTAAAGGGCTCAAGTTCACAAATGGTGCCCACTCAGCCTGCATATGCCTATATGCATATTCTTAGTGCTTTACATAACACATGTGCCAAACCGTATATTTTCAAAGAGCACAACACATAAGATATTCTATTTAAATACACCAGGCATATTACTCATATTGGACATTTCAATAAAACAATCTGTTTAATAGATCTTTAGTTTTTGGCAAGCTTGGGTAAATAGTTCACTTAAAATAATTCACAATTTTTACAAAATAATATTAACTCAAACATCAAGTGTAAAATAATTCTCACTCAAAGATCGAAATTCGTCAAAATCAAAGTATAATCATAATTATATTTTAAAACATCAAAAGTCTCAAGTAAATATTCAAAAATGTCAACATGTAATTTAAACAGCACATGTCTCCTAATACATGTGTTCTAGACCTCAGGGTTAAGGGACAACCCTCTTTGATTTATTTGCTTTCTTATTGTTTACTTGAAATACCTCCTCCCTCTTACCTTGGTGAGTAAGGTGGTCTGCAGGTTCTTTTTCTTGGACTTCCCGGTGCTCGATTTTGTAGCTTCTTGGTTTGTTGATTTCCTAGTTCAGAGAGGAGTTTATCAGAATCCTTTGAGCCAAAATAGCCAAGAGCTAATATTTTTAAAAATTCAGAAATAGCCATGCATTTATCGCAGAAAACTGGAAAACTTTATATTTGCGCAACGTTTGTAAAATTAAGTGTAACGGACTCAAATGAAGTCTAAATCATGATCCTTAAATTTTGTTAGAAAGCTAAGATCCTACGGGTCAAAATCAGCTTCTAAAAATTAATTTTTCATTCACAGGACAGTGCAGAAAAATCAAACTTTGCTGCTATTCACGCAGGTTTTTCAGCTTCACACTATTTTTGTAATTCATTTCGTAAGGTATTCAAACGAAGTCCAAAATTAACATAAAAATATGCATTGGAAAGCTGCTTTCATGTAGTTTATGAAAATTATTTTTTCAGGTTGAAACAGATCAATATAGAGGGTGTAAAAATTATTTCTTTATACTATCTCTGCAAAAAATGTAAAAACAAATGTCCTCACGTATT